GCTGAATTGCGTAGCAGTGTTTTCCTTCAGGTTCACCGTGAACTGAAGGGAGAGAAGCTTCATTTTCGGTTAGTTGTTAATATAACATGAACTCTTTTTGCCCTTTTACATGAAGCATTTTACTCCTAGACTACTTTATGGCGAGATTGTCACTCCAACTTTTAAATCTGGAAATAATTTTAAGGTGTTCTTCAAGTTTAAAAAAAACACCTTTTTGTCAGAACTTTTGCGTAGTAATTTTTCGTAGGACTTTCCCTGGCTGTAAGCTGGACACCCTTATAACCTTTTCTCCTTGTCCACTCTTTGAGAGAGAATATTAATGACAGAGAAGCAGTTCTTCTATAATATAAATTCCCTTAAAAACTGCACTTGCCCAACATGCAACAGCTGAACCAGGAAACCACAGGTTAAGGGGTATGACTTTCTTTGCATGCTGGTTTAGACAAGGCTTATAAAGAACATAGCAGAATTATTTCTGAAGCAGCCCACTGCTAGCAGAGGCTTTAGATTTGAGGACGAGAACGAGGACGAGTCAAGATTTAACTTAAAGTTTCTGTGCGCGTTCTAAAAGAAAGACACCCTGGAAAGCTTCAATTTCCGTTTTTTCACCAAAAAAGTTTGTACGGTTATTTATACTGATAGAGGTTAATTAAGGAGGTTGATTACTTGTTTCCGCCACTACGTCCTTCTTGCTAAAACTCGTAGTAGGATGACAACGGCTATCACGTTTTCCCGCCAAAATGACGCTGGTTCACGCGTGAACAGTACTTAGTATTGAGGAAATCTCGTACTTGTAGTCGTCTTCGTCTCAGAGTCTACAGCTCTCTATTGCCTGCAGCGCTTGAGACAAAAAAAAAAAAAAAAGGCTTGTTTATAGTGGAAATTGCACTTAGCTTGTCCAGCTAATTTACAGGCACTCTACTCAAATATTTAGAAACAAATAATTCAAATACAACATAACAGGGTTAAAAACCCCAACTGGCAGAAGGCAACCAGTTGGCTATTTACAAGCGTGGCCGAGAATTTTGAACTCGGGACGACCGAGCCCAAATCCAGCAAGTGGCCAGAGCGGGACTCGAACCCGGGACCGCCGGATTGCGAGTCCGACGCGCTGACCACTTGGCCACCCTGCCTCCTAGACAGATCTTTTCCTTATTCCTGCGTGCCCACTGTCCATTCCTTTGCAGCTGGAACAAGTGCAAGTATGATCAGTGGTGGGAAGTGAAATTTGTTGGCGAGGGTATTATTGATCAGGGAGGGGGATTCCGGGACTCTCTGGCCGAGTTAGCGGATGAGCTCTGCCCATTGGATGAGAATGTACCAGAAATTCTACCATACCTCATCAGGACTCCAAATCAGAAGGTATTATCACTCAAGCACCACACATTATAGTAATCCACAGGTTTTGTTCGTTTTTGTATTCGTTTTTGTTCGTTTTTGTACTTCTGCCAAACCCATGGCCGATGGATGGTTGTGGGATGGTGCCTGGACAAACTGAGTGAGTCAAAAGCGAACACGCAAGGTAACCATCACAATCCTGTGAGTGGCAACCACCAGGCACCGTCACATTGAGAGCCTCGGTGAGAATTTGTGGAGAATTTAGCAGATACCCGTTCAGATGGAATGGGTGAATGGGAGCTAAACAGCTTAAAAGATTACTCGCTAAAGGCATTGTGAGGAAAATGATTGACCTCGGCAGCAGCAATCTAAAAATTACCAAGGCTCTGCAAAGGCGCAAAAACCACCATATATTTGATTAGTGAGGGAGACCACTGGCCAGCATTCTCTTCTCACCTACATTACATAAATTTTTTTATTGTATCCTCATTAAAGCTAATGTTGTTGTTGCATTGAATACATTACTAAAACTGTTTGTGCCTTTTACTTTCTTCAGGGGAAAGTTGGTGATTTTCTGGATTGTTTTATCCCTAACCCTGGTTGTGATGAACTTCACATGTTTCATTGGCTTGGAGTACTGATGGGTGGAGCGTTTCGTAGTGATGAAAGCCTTACTCTTGCCTTTCCACCCTTTGTTTGGAAACTTCTTGTTGGAGAACATGTCACCTGGGCCAAGGATTATGCTGCCATTGATGAAGCTGCTGTCCGTATAACTGGTTAGAAAGACAGCTTTTTATTTTAAATTGCTGAGAGCAAATTATTTGTTCCAGTAATTTGTAATGGAACATTATTGTCCTCTTGTGATTCCTTTTTTTATGTACTTAATTTATACTTTGACAATAATACGGTATTAATTGTTTTACTATGTTAAATATCAATTGATATTGGTCAAAGGACTTTGTAAGATTAAACTTGAGTAAACAAATCAAAACAAAACTTATCATTTTTACTGTTCAGAGTTTGATACTTTAAGCAAAGTACCAAGCTTTTTGAGAAAAAACCACTTTTCAGCATCAGACAAAAAAAAATCTGTCTATTTAATGTAAAATCAGGTGAAAAAGTCGGTAAAAGGCGATTTTTAGGTTTTTTGATTAATAACAATAGAAATTTGGTTTACATCACCACTTTCTAGCTACTTTTCCCACTCAAAATGGAAAACTTGCAGTGGCTTGTTTGATGGTGCATTAGTGACATTCTCGGTAGCATTTGCCTGGCTCTCAGATAGTAGGACGTCACAAAAATAAAACAAGCCGAGCAAAAATAAGACACGCGTGGTCTTGCGCGTGATCTGGGAAAGAGGGTGGTGGCGTTGCTATCTCTTCCCCAGCCCCCACGCGTTTCGCATCACTCTTTACTGCAGAATTGCACTAGAATCTTGGAGTCTGGAACAGGCTACCTTCTCGGGAGAAGTTCTCCTTTGTCATGCTTGGTTATACTCCTGAATGAAATAAAAATTTGGAAGAAGCGTTTTTCTAGCGTACAATCGTGTGGTCTGAGAGGAGCAACAAATGTAAATTGTAGAATTAATGTGCTTCTTGTAATTGTCAGTGAGCTGCTGTCTTATTGGTTATGATATTTTGCAATGCAGATGAACTGGAGGCCCTAGATGAAGAGTTGTATAAAAGTAACTATGGTGACGAGTGTACCTTTTCCACGGTGCTAAGTGATGGCCGTCGTGTTGAGCTACTCCCGGCAGGGGAGGGCAGAGTAGTGATGCCTGGTGAAAGGAAAGAATATGCGTCTCTTGTCAGAAGAGCCCGGATGACAGAGTTTACTAAGCAGGTAAGAGTGACGACAACACTGCTTGTCGTCTGACGAGTGTGATTATAAGGTGGTATTTTAATCTTTACAATAATTGTGTGATGCTTGAATATTACTACATTCGGAATCATTTTGAGATTTCTAATTACATCAAGGTTTTTTCGTTCCATGGATAAAACGCTATCATGTTGAACGTTTGTGTGATTATTTTGTCTTGCTTGAAAGACGACAACGATTGGCAATAGCGGGAACCTCTTTCTCTGTTTCACATTATAGTCACTCTTCCTTTCTCTCAACCTTCTACCACACAATGCTTTCTGGCAGGCCAGAACGTTTACGAAAGACGAAATGTGGCTACCAATGTTCTGTTTGGTGAAGAAGACGTTCGATAAAATCTACGCGTTAAAGTGGTCTTTTCTACCTATCGACAATGCTCTCAAAAATCGCTTATTTTCCTTGCAGTTCTGCTCAGACACCTAAATTCTGCTCGGTTTAGAACTTACAGGCCCTTCGAGTCTTGTGATTGAAGAGAGTAAAGGTCTAGCACTCATTCTGCATAGCAGAATTGCATGTATTTCATCTTACCGGTACTTTGTACAATATCGTTCCTTTTAGTCGAACAGGTTAAATTTTTTCGTACTATCTTTTATCTTGATTTGTATTTAACTTTCAATGTTTCTTGCAACTTTTATGCGCATTTTCCATTATTCTGCTCAAATTCTGCTCAAAAATGCTTGATCAGTTCTGCTGGTAGAATTTTCGCCTTTAAAATCGTTCATTTTGTTTAAAATTCTGCCGGCAGAATTTATCCAGGCCTAATGAGGAATTACTGTGTTGACAGGTACAGGCCATGAGGCAGGGCTTGATGACTGTTGTACCTGAGTCAGTGCTTACTCTTCTGACTTGGTGTAATCTGGAACGAGGTGTTTGTGGAGATAGAGACGTCACTCTTGCACATCTCAAAGCTGCCTGTAAGTATGTTGCGCTTTGTACGGTCTAACTTCCGCTGACGGCCGAATCTGCTTCATTATTATTCATTAAAACCTCCAAGTACCGAAAAATACGACAGCAAATACTAAGTAAGATATGACCTAATTCTATTTCCTTGGCAGCCCCGATGTCAATATCGCATTGTCATAACAATTTTTTATCTCTATCTAATACAGCCGTGGTGACTATTTTTCGACAGTTTTGTTAATGGTGGCTTAGGAAATGCTCAAACCTGGGAGGTGCTACCCCGAAAAAATCCAGTCAAGCCACCTTCCAGTCAAGCCATTCTATTGCTCTTTAATTAGAAAGTATATCGGGAATTGCAAGAACCAATCACACAGTGTCCACAATGGGCCATTTTCACCATGACGGAGGTTAACTACAACTATCAGAATTCATTTCGTTTCAGCTCTCTTGTTTATATTTATCAATCCCACTGAGTTTTATCGAACAACGGCCCTAATTCACACACAAAAACGGCAAACTGGCTGATTCTTGTACTTGTAGTCACACTGATATCTTGGGAAGGGCGTTCGCCGTGTTGGAGCTCTCGTTTTCAGAGAGACGTCTGAACGATTTATTTTTTGTCAGGTAAATACGGCGATGATTTAAGGGAATCATCGAAGACAGTCAAACATATGTGGACAGTTTTGAGTCAGTTCAGCTCTGATGAGCGCAGCCGATTCCTGCGTTTTGTTACCGGACGTAAGAGGCCGCCTGCCCCCTTCACTGTGGCCAAAGCTGGAGGAGACAAGGACAGCCTTCCCCATGCCTCTACCTGCGCCAGTACCCTCTTCCTTCCTGACTACTCGTCTGCAGCCATCGCCAAGGAGAAGCTCAGGTTAGCAGCAGGCAGAAATCTGCTTTCAAATCTTCAGTTTATGATAATTGAGGGACTTGTAAAGATAGGGAGCTTTAGCAACGACGGCTTCTAAGCAAAACAAAAACTCTGTACGTGCAGCACACTTTTTTCCGTCACTGCAGGACTTCAACGTGAAATTCCCTCACGGGACGTGTTATGGAGGAAGTAAACGCACCACGTCGAATTTTTCTCTCCTTCTAAACTTGGTTTCGGAGAGGGGAGGGGAGGGGAGGGGAGGGGAGGAACAGGCTACCTTAAGGTGAAATTATGAGAAGTAGGGATCGTGTTGTTGTTATGTCAGGTAACATGTTTTTCTTGGTGTCGGGGTTTATTTGGTGCGGGTGCAACTCGCCAAGCAGGCTGTAAGAAAAAACCTGTATTAAAAATACAATATACTGAAGCATCATGCATTTTATTTTTTTAGCTATGCGATCTCAAACTGTGTGGCAATTGATACCGATACCAGCCCCTGGTAATAAAACGTGAATTGAAAGTTAGAAACGAAGAAGTCCTGTGGAGCTACATGGATGAATTATTACTGTGCAACCAACTCAACCTGGGCCACCGACATTTTCAAATACGCTTGCTTACCATGGTCAGACTCGTTCGTTTTGAACGTGACCTATGTTTGACCGGTTAATGTTACAATAGGTAACCCGGCCCGGCTGAGTTCGCTTCTCCGTGACTATTATTATAGTACTAATATTTAAATAAATATAGTGTGCCTTCACTTAAAAAATATATCTATATCTAGGAAAATATTATACTAGTCAAGAGAATTCACACCATTCACCAAACAGAAAGTTATGCAGTTTAAATGTCATAATTTAAACTATTAAATTTAAAATTAATATCAATAATGGGGAAATTCCGAGTTGTCTTAAGTCCCCTTTAATTCTAGTTTCCTCGGTCGTTACCGACGTTCTTACGAGATCGAGACCACCCATAAGATTATATATGGAAATCAGTTTTATCCTGGCGATAAGGTTAGCGTGACTTTTCAGTTTGTTCTCTCTTACTGGGATCTGCTAGGCCTTCATGTTCGCGTGTTCCCTCGGCCACTGGATAATTTACCAGATGACTACAATTGCTTTACATCTAGCGCTGTTTTTTAACCGAGATGATAGGTATTTCAGACGTGTGTAATAGCATAGACACTGTGTGTTACTGGGTTGTATATTTTGTCACTTAGCGGAGATAAAATAATAGATGAGGTATTTTTATTAATTTCAAGGGACAACGCTCAAAAACGAGTTAAGGGAAACGTTCAACCCAGATTTCTTGAGTGGATTTCTCATGCCATAGGTTATACAGTAACTCGATGGACGTTAATTTGAACGTCAAAGTGTGTTTTAAGATGAAATCCATCAGGAAATTGAGTAATTTAATTTTCAGTGGACAAAAACCTTGTCCCAGAATAATTTAAACAATATCGCATTTTTTTTTTATAGTTTTCAAGGGCTATAGATGTAATTAGTTATCTGTAATAACACCAAAGAAAATTTCTCATGAGAGTCCGAAAAATACATGTCCAATTTCACAAAATGACATCTTGCAAATGAAATTTTCAGAATTTTGCATGTTTTTTCACAATTCTTGCAAAATTTGACATTTATTTTCTCGGGCTCCTAGGAGAAATGGTCTTCGGTGTTATTACAGATAACTAATTATATCTCAGTATAGCCCTTGAAAAATGTAAAAAAGAATGCGTTATGGTTTAAATATTCTGGTACAAGGTTTTTGTCCACTAAAAATTAAAATTACTCGGTTTCCTGATGGATTCCGTTCTAATGCTCTGCGTTGTAATAAGTTCAAGTTTTCAGTGTGACTTTTGGTCAGAGGCTTTTTCCGCTTTTTTTTGGTTAGCGAGCAGAGGCAAGTAGTAGGAAGCACGCGCCGCGGCAAGGGTGCTGTTCTTGCGCCTTCTTCCACTCCCAGAAAAAAACCCAAGAGACTACCACCTGTTCTAGCTTTTTGGGCTAAATATTCCGTAGGAAAAAACCTCCGAATGTAAGCTGTCTCAGAATATAAGCTCTGTAGCTAAAAGGCAAAAATCAAATAATTATGAATTTTTCAAGTAAACCAACTTAAAGTAAACTTATCTGCACCTCAACTTAGATTTGTTCAAGTTATTCCCTTAGTCAAGGTGGGAGGTTTCTTTTCTCGCTTTATTCTTTGCTTCATTCACATGACGTCACGGCGGCCATACTTGTGTACAAAACAATGAATCGGCGGCCATGTTTGTGTACCAAAAAAATCCTGTGGGAATTGAACTCTTTTCACATGTTAAAACTTTCTTTTATTCCAAGCTATTTGGAAAGCTGCTCACCACGTGACTGAAAGCGATCAATAAACATGCTTCTTGTAAAAATTCTTACTTTTTTTGTGTAATATTTCAATGCACCTATCAACGTTACTCCCCCGAGCCCCCCGCCGAAGCCAGGTTCAGAGTGCATGTCCAATAGACCTTTATTTTCTCCGCATTCCTGTAAACAAAGGCACAAACTCGAGGATTGGGTGGACAGAATACAGTAGTTTGTATGAAATTGTCCATCCGAGCGTCGACTTTATTTCTTTGTGTTTGCTCACTGGAGCGGAATGCAAAAAAGGTCTATTGAATGCTTTTGTGGGAGTTTAATGGTTGGTGTCAACATCCCACTAAGGGCCTGTTTTCATGGAGGTGGGGACCCCAGATAGGTGAGGTAACATGTGGCGGGTCACCCCACCTATCATGTAAACGTGATCAGCTCAAAATGAGAGATTATGTGGACAGGTGGGTTATCCCACCAAAGCGGGTTACCTCACCTAACTGGGGTCCCCCACCTCCATGTAAACAGGGCCTAAGCTTAGTGCCCTGATAAAAATCACAAATGACATTTCGCATTGACAATTCCTTTGCTAGCCTGAGGACATTGTTTTTGTCGCGCAATTTCCAAAAATCGTTAGCCTGCGTAGCTGGCAGGATTAGAGGGCGAGGGCAGATTGGCCACTCGCGAAAAACGCGCACGGCTTCGCCGTTCCTTTTGCGTGACGGCTCCGTAGTCAGTAAAGTACCCAAGGGAAAAGTACCCTACAATCTCGCATCTATTTTCAACATATTCGTCGCTTGCATAGCAAGAACTGTTTTGGGTGGTAGCGCTGAGCAGCTACGGTGACGAATACTAAGGTAAGAAAATCGAAGAAGAAATAGTTTTAATAAGCAAAACAAAAACTCCGACGCATTAAACTTGAAAACAACGTGATTTTCATCACAATAAATATTTATTGAAAATTTACGGCTCAAATATATACAAAATGTGATTCAATTTTCCAACATCAATAAACATAGTATTCTGAATGACGGACCAAAATAAGGTCGGCAAAATTCGTCACCGTAAAAATACACCAATTTAGATTTTGCTCAAAGATTAAAACAATAAAATCTTTCCTATACTCGCCAGACGAGTTTCAGACGAGTTTCGGCATTATCTAAACAATGGCTTTTCAAGATAACATACCGGTACTACGAAGGCAGAGTTTCGTCTGTATAATTACAGGGTTTTATTGCAAATCGACCGAAACGCAAATTATTCTGAACGATGGATAATCTTAACAATAAACAAAACTGAATTAACTAGATCAGAAGAAAAGGTATTACTACAACTTAACGAAATCTGACAACCTATCAACTGCAAGTTCAATACAACAAACAACAGACAGAGCTTCATGGGTCAGTTCTCGTTCGAAGATTGTATTCGCTCGACAGCAAAGAGAGCGAACGCTTTATACAAAATAGTTTAGATCCCACCAGGTCTACCTTTTACCCGCTCATGTTAGCTGTTCCAGGCTCCAAGATAGCAATGTGCAGAGATCTTGACAACTATTGCAGGCTCCCTTCTCAGTTGACGCGCGTCTAATTTTCGCGACGTCCCTGCTAACTGAAAGCCCGGCACAGGCTAGCTTCTAGCTAGCTCAAATGTATGGAAAACGAGGAATTTGTGTCCAAGGTTATTTGGTATTAACTGATATAACTGTATTAAAATTTTAAAAGAATGACTATGTACAGAGGGTGATTCTATGAAAATCGAATATCTGTGAGGTCAATTCCAATTTCATATCAAAATTAAAATTCATGTTTCAAAAACATGCTTAAATTTAAACAATTTCTAAAGAATTTTCCTTGTTCAACGCTAACTAACATTACTAATATTACGGTGATTCTTGGAATCCAGAACTTGAACTTTCTCCTTTACACTCGGAGAATCATTTTCTTGATCTTGGCAATCGATAAGTTCTGTACACATATTTTCTTCTGATTCAGTTTCACCGCAATTTTGAGGTGAAAAAACCTCTTTTGTGTTAAGCTTCTCTTTCTCTAACCTCCTCTGAAGCGGACTCCATTCTCGTGGCAGAGATGAAGAACTCGACGATTGCCCATTGCTGAATTTGATTGTGTAACCGACTTCTCGACCGGAAGAGGAAGAAACAGTCTCGGATACATCCGAAAACGACCGACGACGTATAACGTATTTTTCGGTTTTACCGATTGCCTTCGGCATTGACCCGCATCGCCGAATGTGATTTCCATTGTCTTCCTCGTCTTCTTTGCTTTGCTTGCTAATATGCTGCATGATTGTTTCAAAAATTCTCGTCCTCTGCTTCACGTTTGCACCATCCCAGTCAATGAATGTTTCGTTTGCCAACTCTAACTTTTCCTGGGCATTCATAAGAGCTAGGTTTACTGCACTGTCACTCAGAATCTCTTCCATTTTCATGTTGCACGACATGTTCAGCTGGTTTTCTTCATGGACACTTTCGTCTGAACACGAACGTGGAACAATGATAATTTTAGCAGACTCGCTCCCTGTCGTAGGCAAGTCTTCTTTTGACTGTTGGCGTTTAATTTTCTCTCCGTCCTTGGACGTGGTTGTAACCCTAATAATACCTTCCAAGTGTTGCGTCTGGTCTCTAACGCGCACCACGCTTGACGTGTCTACGCCGACGTCACTTAGTTCTGTCTCTTCAACTCGATCGCCTTCCACGTCTTCATTCTTTTCAGCATCTCCACGACCTTCTTCTCCTCCCTCACTAACCTCAAGCAATGTTCCATCCTTGCAAACTTCCTCGTTGTCTTCTTCACGTTTAGCATTCGTCTCTTCAACCGTTAAAGGCTTGACTCTCTTCTCGATGCGCTCTTTTTCACGTCTCACCAAGCCAGACACTGTTTCACTATCCTCGATTTTCTCAACAACTACTTCCCCTGGAACATAGCTTGTTAGTTCAGGTTGATAACTTTGTTCTTGTTCTAGACAGATAGAGGAACACATATCTTGGTTTCCTGTGGGCTCATCGTTTCTTAATTCAACTGTCGAAGGTGATGGAAATGATTCTTGGTCAACTGCAAATTCATCTTGCTCCGGACCCAACTGTAGCTTTCCTTCGATCACTAACGTTTGACGCTTCACGAGTCCTCTCTGAGGAACGTCATCCACACTCATCATATCCTCCTTGTCGTCTAGCAATTCGCATGTATCCACGTTTTCTGGGGCCGTTTTTCCCTGTTCTATTATGTCTTCAGCAATCGTTACATCGTCTCCATCAACTGGTTCCATACTTTTTAAGGCAACACCTCTCGATTGCTCTTCTGATGACTTCGTACAGTGGTCTTTGCAGTCTTTAGATTCGCCCTCCTGTTTACATTCAATTTCAACCTCAGCTAGAGCTTGCTCTAAAGCCTGATGCCTTCCTTCAATCAACAGCGTGTGACGCTTTACTAGTCCTTTCTCAGGAAGACTTTGCGTATCTTCTTCAAGCGCTCTATCTTCAGTTTCCTTCGATTCCGTAACCAATTCAGCGCTCCCATCACCCGCAACACCTTGTTCTATTCCTTCGGAAGAAAATGTCTGTTCTTTCGACGGCGATCGTAATATCACTTCCTGCTGCATTGTGTGTTCGCGCTCCGCTTTTTCAGTCTCACTTTGGACATCTTTCTCCGTCTCTTGATCCCAAGGCTGTAGCTTTCCTTCAATAAGTAACGTGTGACGCTTTACCAAACCTTTCTGAGGAATATCCTCTTCGTCTTGTTCGATTACATTGTCCTCCCCGTTCTCTGCCGGTTTGCAAGTATTTTCCGTGGACACATTCTGACTGGAATCACCATCAGCGCTCAGAGCTTGTTCTACATTTGCGCCCGGTGAAATATCACTTGTCGAGTCACTTTTCGTTGATTCCGTTTCTGCGCAACCGACCGCGTCCATGGAGATCGGAGGATCTTCCAACAGTTGTGCTCTTCCCTCATTTGTTTCCTTAACAAGGCCAGCAGCAGCAAGCATTTCTGTGGTTTCATTGCAAACTGAGTCTGCTACTGAGTTCTCGTTTTCCTGATTCGAGTTTCCATCTTCCCCTGCTAGTTGTACCAACGCTCGTAACTCCCGTTCTTTCTTCGACACTCTTCGAGCAGACACTTCCTTCTTCATGTCTTCATTGACCTTTTGTACAAGAGCGTCAACGTTAACAGAACACGGGCGTTCAGTTTCCGATCCATCACCAGACAAAATAAAATCAGCATCACTAGTCAAAATGCCATCACTTCGCTCGCGTTTCAGGCTACTTCCATCACCGCTTTCTCCTCGCTGAAGCACAGCCCCTCGTTTTAAACTCTCCCGATGTTTCAGTTCATATTCCTCTTTGTGTTTCTTAACAACACCAGGTTCGGGTTCCTCGCTTTTGTCTTGTTCTTTCTCAGCGGCTGCGGATTTTTCATTTTCACCAAGCTCAAAATCCCTATCCATTTCTTTTCCGAGGCTCAAAATATCGTCAAGCTCTACAGAAAGGACATCATACACACCCTCCTCAAAGTTCCGTGACTTGCGTTTGACAAACCCACTTTCAAGGAGGCCATGCAAATCACTAGGGAGACCACCCAGCGAGTTAGATCCCGCGCCACTTTGACGTTCTTGGTCGTTAGATTGACTTTGAAATGTGCCCTTCTCTTTTTGATCACATTCCGTAATATTTTCATCACTAGCAGCTTTCCCCTCCATGAAATCACGAAGGTATTGTATTCTCTTAGGCCCCCGCTCCCGCAATGAGCTGGACCTTTGAAAATTAGTCTTAAGAACGTTCGATTTGTGCATCGTTTTGTCATCACTTGGCAATACAGGCACTGAACTTACTCTGTAGAGCGCAGTCTTTCCTGTCGTGGGAGTTTCCGAGACACAAGAATTTGACTGATCCTCTACGACAGTTTCTTTGCTTAGTTCTAATATTGGGTTTATCGGTAAATCATCAACTTTCGTTTCCCGCAAGTCATCCTCGTAGGTAAAAACATCTTCGTGAGATTCAGCAGTGACAAGACCGACTTCCGAGTTTTCTTCGGCAGTAACCCGAAGTATTGCTGGATCTTTGACTTCCACCTCCGAGGTTTCTTCGTCTTTCTGGTCTGAAACAGTTTCTCTAGGTAAATTATCCACAGTATCCACGCCTTCACACTGAGGCGGGGCGTCCTTTTTGACGGCTATGTTAGCTTTTGTCTTCCTGACAGGCCCTGCCTCAGGATCCGCCTCATTTGTAAACAATTTGTTGTAGCGCTGTTTGCTGCAAAGTAAAGACGAGATACCACTCTTAAAATATAAAATAATACATTTTAATGACTGACTGCCCCTGACTTCCCGTGAGGTAAATGTGAGCAAGGCAAAATTGCTAATGAAGAAGCCCGAGAAAAGAAATTAAGGCTTGAAAGGGTCATTTGGGCCTTCTCTATTCGCAGCTGATTAAGCTGCTCTCACCTCACTGAAGGATTTCTAATTCAACCAAATTTTACCTGTCTTCATATATAACAATTATGCAATAGCCAGTGAGTTGTATAATCATCCCTGAATTAGTTACCAGTTCTTCTGATAGTTAAGAGTGATACTCTCTCCGTGGAGATAAAAAATACCGTTAACATGACTACTACAAATATTATTGACTCAAAACACTGGAAGGTAAAATTCATATATCCGCACCGCCATGCAATACCCTATACATATACGTGTGCTATATATACCTCGAGTTCAAAATCCCTTCGTATGTAATCAACTGTTTCCAAAACCCCGAATTTGGCTGGACAATGTTTCTTCGAGTCTTCACGTGCTTCATTGAGTCACCTAACGACCATCCATACTCTTTCATACCATAAGCAATCACCTAACAAGCCAATAGAGACAAAAAACGGTGTAAGCAAAGGTTGAATAATGTAGTCTGTCCTTTGACGTTGAGTAAAGGGTGGAGTCTTGTTGCCCATTTGGTAGTACTTTCGCACGAACTAGGTATTTATTTTTCGGGATTCTTCAACACGAACTTTGGAATTTTTGTCAAAATTTGACTTTGTCTACTTTTGGGCCGGACTGGAAAGTGTTACACGTTCCTGTGCCACCAGTACTTAACAAATACAACATATTATTAACGGAATTAACACTTTCTCAGGACCAAATTACGGGCGTAAAAAAACAACTTGTGAAGATGGATTTTTCCCCAACCAGTGCGCACTCTCATTGGCTAGCTTAAGGTCACATGACGTCCAACAATAAAACTATTTCCCTGAAAGGAGAACATTACAAAATGTATGACGTCACAAAACATCAGGACTCTCTGCTTCCCTCGGTACCAGTCCTTTGTATAAGGTCATAGAATAAGCAGGTCAGCCTGCCCATACTTTGGCTCGACTGAAACTCAAAAGAATCAGCTACTCTGTTGCTACAACCGAAATGACAAAAGACCCCAGCATTTATGAAATAGCTGTAGCTATAAAACTGCTATGCCAGCACAAATAAAAAAGTCACAATAGAGAGGAAAAAGAAATCATTACAGCTAGCGATTTAAATTACCGTTGAAGCTGAGCGGCTAATACCCATCCTACAATGTACGAGAACTTTTGAACCTGCATTTCTGAAAACAAACATAAAGGATGTCCGTCAGTGGTTAGCGGACAAATCTTTTTAATTATGCCTCTACTAAGAACAAACAGTAGTTTGCAACTGCTCTAGTTTTGCATTACTGTGTTTTGTGAATCGTTCATGCCACTTTCGATATATTAAATTCACCTTGATAGCGATTCCTATAAGGAATTTGCTTGTGTCCTCCAAGACTCACTATCACGTTGAATTTTAACATATCGAAAGAATAGCCTGCGGTATGTTTTAACCAATCAGAAGTAAGATGCTCAGACGTGTTTTACCTTGCTTTCCCGCGCTTTGCGCCGGTTACACAAGTCTTCGACTTTTGATTGGTTCAATGGATTGCATGAGTCAGCTGTGATTGGCCCAAATTGATCCCATGATTTTGCCTCACGTGACCACGCTTAGATGCAACCGAAGGTATTTACGCAAGCTTAAAAACACACACCCGGGAATAGAGAGGAGAAGTGTGACGTCACGTTAACATGGTAGCACTATTTCAGGCCCCGGTTCCTGGAAAGCCGATTAGTGCTAATCGAGGATTAAATATCGCTAATCGCCGAATAAATTTTATCCCACGATTAGATTCTGTTCCTGAAAGCACGATTAATCTTAATCTAGGAATAAACTAAAGGTTAAATTTAACCCACCTAGCGAGGACGATTAACTCGCTAATCGAGGGAAAATTTGGTCAAAACAAACAAAATGGCGGACTTACTGTTCCCTCTAATTGACCCGAAAATACGCGAAAGAAAGTTCCAACAGCGAGAAATTGACCTCGACGAACTAACTGACGAAGAACTCCGCAGTAGATACAGGTTTGGACGGGAGTCAATAAAATTTCTCGTAGAAATCCTGAAAGACGACCTACAAAGGCAGACGCGAAGAAATCATGCGCTGTCGCCAACGCTACAAGTTCTTGTAGCGTTGCGTTTTTTTGCCAGCGGCAGTTTCCTACAAATAATCGGTGACACCGTTGGCCTTCCTAAATCCACCGTTTCAAGAATTGTGACCGACGTGTCAAAGGCTCTTGTGAGCAAGCAGGAGGAGTTCATCAACTTCCCTACCGAACCTGCTGAAGTTCAAGACGTCAAAAGAGGATTTTACGAGAAGGGAGGGTTCCCTGGTGTTGTAGGTTGTATCGACGGGACCCATGTGAGGATTCAAGCGCCCAACAAAAATGAGAATGACTATGTCAACCGAAAGGGCTTCCATTCCATCAATGTCCAAGCAGTATGTAACCATAAAGGTAAAAAAGGAGTATATTATTTTCAATAAGCATCCAATATACAAATGATAAAGAACAAAGCAGAAGTAATACATATTATCTGAGGGGGTGGTAGAAGACTAAGTTCATGTGCTTCAAAGAATAGTTGTTGAAAGTTCTATTAAAATTTAAAAGATTTTAACTCTTCTGGTGAAAAAATATTAACAATTAGAAAAGTAATCAACCCTGTAGTATGTTTTTATGGTAGGGACCCCATAAGAGAGTTGACAATTGACATGCTTGTCATCTCACTCAGATGTTTGAATTCAATTATCTTTGGGTAGAACATAGATAAACATAGGTAAAAAAAAATGGAGTTAAGGGACCGGTCATTATTTATCGCCTGGGGACACGAAGGATTTGGTACTAAACAAGGTGAAATTTAGCTGATCCCCCCTTTGAATGTTACTTCACTGAAGTAATCTCCCCTAACAACTTTAGATGACTTTCGTAATCCCCCCATGTCTTCATTTTCCAAGCAAATTTGAGTGGTCCCTCTCTGAATCCTTCCAAAGTTTTCAGTGATCCCCCTTTAGGGTTCTCAGTTACGGCGGATCCCCCCTTTTGTTCTCCTCAAAATTAAGTGATCCCTCAACTAAAATCCTCCCCCCCCCAGCAATAAATAATGACTGGTCCCTTAAGTCTAAATATTATATACTACAGTGCTTGAGGCCAACAAAAAGTCAGATATCTTCGTCCTCTTCAAACAAAAAGATTGGAAGGAGGGGGGCTCAAATCCAAAAACCTATCAGAAATCTGTGAGATTTAACCATGGAATTTCTGGAAGGATGGAGTCTCTACCAATCAATAAAAACTCTCAATACGGGAGGTATGGATACTTTATGGAATTACACAATAAAGTACAAAAGTTATTGTTGAAATTTCTTTAGGCATGTTTACGAACATCGTTGCACGATGGCCTGGTAGCACACATGACAGCTTCGTATTTAGCAGTTCATTGATTGGTCAGAGGTTTGAGTCTCAGCCCCGCACATTGGAAGATGGCTTGCTTCTTGGAGATAGTGGGTACCCTTGTAAACCATATCTCATGACCCCATATCTCAACCCTACATCTGTAAATGAGGAAGCATTCAACCAGGCCCATAAAGCTACAAGGGTGGCCATTGAACAAACCTTTGGATGGTGGAAGCGAAGGTTTCATTTGCTTCACTCAGAAGTAAGAATGAAGCCCGAGAAGGTCTGCCTTATTATTGGAGCTTGCGCCATATTGCACAACATCGCAATACTGAGGAATGAGCCACAGGATTGCCACCTCCTGCAGGAAGACGACCAGCCAGCAATGGCCCCCTTTCATGGCCCAGAGAATGGAAAGGCTGTGAGAGATCACATTTGCCACACCTTTTTTTAAAATTCCCCTTTCTCCACTAGACGTGTATCTTACGGTGTCAGCATCTAAATTCTTTAAATAACCTAAACATTGTCAATATTGCAATCTTCTAAAATGATGTCAGACTCTCTGTATGGGTAATAGCTGCAGAAGTCTATTTTGTCACACATTTTCCTTCAAATCACCTGATTTTCAGGTAAAATTGTTGCATGTCAAGAATCATTTTGTGTTCCAGTGCTACTAGTGAGTTTGCCATCATTCAACGTCTAACATTGTCAAACTTGGTTAAAACATTCAAGCCATTTTCACTTTAATTGCTAAGATTGTTGCTTCATCAAAAGTGGTCTTTGCGACTTATCGATTTTGTCTAAAATACCAAATACAGAGTCTCATAAGTCAAGAAGAGTATAAACTTTGTTGCATGTCTTTTGTTCCAAAAATGCTGTCCTCTTTGAAGAACTTAATTGTTCAGCTATTGGTACTGTTTATGTCCTGACATAGTCACAACACCTCTCACCAAAATGTTCAAAATTTTTATGTCACTGACTAAGGCTTAACAGCCAATGTAAATACACTAATGGAAGTATTATGACCAAGTATCTCTGAGACAATCGGAAATCCTTAACATTTGGTATAATACTTCCAGTAGTTTGACATTCAAAATATTGCTCCGAGAAAACATTGTCAGAATGATCGTATATGGTAAAAATGGGAGGTGACAGAAACCATTGTTAATACCCTTGGAACTACAAGACATTTTCTGGATAAAAGGAAACCAGTACAAAGGAATAATTCCTACAATTCTGCCTGTTGTAAAGATTCCAAATAGAAATGACTTATCAGATCATTATAGGTTTCTGCGAAACTGTCCTATCCCTTCCCTAAGCCAACATTAACACTTACATTTTGTAATACCAATATGGATCCTTCCCCTCAGTTTTACATGGATAATAAAAATGAAAGGAGAATGCAAGAAACAAAAGACTCAATTCCACCTGTAATTTTTCTTGGAGGAAATGTAATTAGTACTGTGTGACCCCCACCCTATCTCACTCAGGTGATATATATCTAGTAGCAATAAGAAAAATTCTATATACAGCTACTATGCCTATCAAGCTGCTGTAAAGTATTTTGTGATACAATTTATTATTTTGTGTTGCTCAAATAGCACCATTTGGATTTGTGGAGAATATGCTATTCAGTTGAAAGTTCACTCAAAGGTTCTTTCAACAGAGGCAAGAAGATGACATGTAATGTGAAATGGAAAAAAAACCTTTCAATGATATAAGTGCTACCCATAATGGAAAATATATGCCAATTATGGATTGGGCAAAGTTGTTTTTAATTTCATCATTAAATGTAATTGATAATAATAAAACTTAATTTAATGCAAAATAAAATAATGGATTTGAATCAAAATGAAATATATTACTATGTAACTGGTCACAGAGACATTATTTCCATAACTGGGATAAACAAGATTTTGTGTATGAAAAAATATGCTTGAAATTTATGTAGAATCTGAAACATTTTACAAAACATTGCAAGCTAATGTAAAATCCCAATATCAATATAAAGTGTTCATAAAAAAATATCCTGCATTCAATTTGGGATGGTTTCCTTATCTTCATCGTCCAGTTTTTTGCTGATAAGAAGAATTTCCATTCGAAGCTTTGTTTTCTTTAGCTCTAGCATTTCTTGTTGCAGCTTTAATGCCTTTTGCTGCTCTTCCAGAATATCAGCTTGTGTAATTCGTCTCTTTCTATTTGGTGGCAACGGTGAATGATCTTCCTTAACCTGTGCTATCAGACCAAGTTTCATCATTTCTTCACTCGATAGCGTTGGTAAATCTTGTTGGTCTTCCACAATATCTGCTTCAGCTGGTTCTACTATATTCAATTCAAGAAAATGTTGTGCATTCAGCACCAGAAATTTGAACTATAGGTGAAATGTTGAAAAAGGTAGGATATTTACGTAAGCTTGTATTGATGTTTTTTAATAAGCACTCAGTGGCCTTTTTTCAAGTCCTTCTATTACTGCGATTGAGATTTCCTTCGCTGTTGACCCTTTCCTATGTTGTTACATCGAAATAAAACTTGCCTTCGAAACATTAATGCACGCTTGACTATAAAAAAAGTAAGTTTTTCACTGAAAAGCAAAGGAGAACAAATTCTTATTCTCGAATTACGAGTTCATCAGAGCCTACATTCGAACGTTTCTCGGTGTAAGAGAGAATTCAAACAAGATAACACAACAGAACCAAGAAAAACAAAGTTCACAGGTTCTTACACCGAAGTTAACCCCGTTTTTGCTGCTGTCGGGGATCATCGAGTTGGTAATTTCGCAAAGTAAAATGGCAGAAAATGGGGAGGAAACTCTGCAAAATAATTTAAAAACTTAAGTACTTATCTTAAAATGCTCCACGAAAGGTTCCCAGATAAAAACATACCAAAAATGGCGGACAAAGCTACAGCTTTCTAGGAAATCACATGACCAGTAAAACAATGAAATATTTACATAAGCTTTCTCACCAAGCCCTTCGCCGCCACCAGTCTCAAATCCCCCCAGTCCGGAGAAGGCGGGTGTGTCCTCAAAAATTTCTATGATTTGCTCACTTGACTGGGAAGGGGGCTTGGGTGGAGGTCCACCGCCAGTCTTCTTGTACTCTTTCTTGTAATTACTAAATTCTTTTTTGGCTGTTGAGTGGAGGTTCTTCCACTTGTCTTTTATTTCTTGGACGGAGCGATTCGCTCGGCCAACAGCATTTACCTCCTTGGTAATCTCCTCCCAGACTTGACTTTTTTTTTTGTTGGTTATATTATTCGTCAGCTTTGACTGGATCACATCAATATGTTTTTTTACACTTTCTGTAATTATGGAAACTTCAAGCGGTGAGAAATTTGGTTTTCTTTTTCTTTCCTTTACTTCACTTTCCTCCATTTTGTTTTCTTCACCGGCCCCGCAATCCGCGCCAATTTTTCGCGCCATATTTTTTTAGAGGCAGGCGGCCGAAAAACTCGTTAAACCGGTTTTCATTTAGCACTAATCTGGGATTAGTTAATCGCAGGATAATTTGGCTTTCAGGAACTCCTTTTTAACCCACGATTAGTTATCCGAGGAATAAGAAATTTAATCGTGGATTTGACGCTAATCGGAGGATAGATTAATCTGCTTTCCAGGAACCCGGGCCTGGACGAGAACAAACCAACGACGGCAAGGAGAACGGCAAAAAATAATGTCAGCATTAACAAACAACAACTTTGCACGTGCGATCACGCTATTTTGTACATTTGTTTGATGTCGTTGTACCACTACGACATGAAACGTCCTAATTTCGCAAGCCCGTTATGGAGTAGGTGAACACAACACAAAAATTGTCGCTTTCTTTTTCTAAACTTACATAACGATAGATACGGTCCCAAAGAAAATTTTCATCAACATTTTCCAACTTAAATGAAATTGAATAAGATCGGTGAAGTTTGAAATACTGCAAATAGACTTTTAAGTCACTTATCGGTTTATTGTCATCCAAAAATTTTGCTACAATAGCAACGTGACGTAACCGACTTCTCCCCTCTGCAGCCCAAGAACTAGAACGCATTCGAAAAAGCATCCACCGGGACAGGGCATTTAAATGCTTACAGTGTAAGTCCTTCAGCTACTCAGAATACTTAGAAAACGTCTGGTCTTTTGCTAAAGCGGAGTGAAGTTAAATGACATTGATCAGTACTAACAGCTGACAGTACAGATGACCAGCTTGGTACCCTTTTTAACGAGCTATTGTACGACTTGAATGCTTACTTGGCTTTCTGTATAAATTTATAAGTGTTGTCCCAATAGCGAAGTAATTCCGTATCATCTACATCATAAACCCTGTGAGAAGAAACGAGAACTTTACTTAAGCACAGATGTTACAGAAAAAAGTGCTTGGTTGCAGAGAGAAGTTGAAGAGTGGTTGACAAAAATTTAAATTAAAGGGAATGAATGAATGTTTGAGTCTTCCGAATTAGGATGCGACATCACGGTCACGGTACATTTGCAAGACAAAATGTACATGAACAAACCTGATGTTGTGGTAATGGAATGTTCCAGGAAAAAAGTTATCAATCTCTCTCGTTACGTTCAAAATATATCCAACCCTACAGAATAATAAAAAAAAAAGACACAACAAGTTTACATACAACATATGGGCACATATGAATAGCCTTAATCTAAAGTAAAATGTTCAAAAATAGCGGGAGGAAGATATCACAAATTTAAAAATAAACAATAGACAGACTTGTAAACTGGTCGTCTTAACGCTGTTGTGAATAGGGAGTTTTAAGGGAGCTTTAGCAACGACGACGGCGACGGCAGCGAGGACGTCAAAAAAGCAATAGGTTTGTTACGCAAAACAACAAGTTTGCACGTGCATCACGCTTTTTTGTACATTTCTTTACCGTCCTTGCACGACTACGACGCGAAAATGCGTAATTGCAAGTTTTATGCAGGACGTAAACTTGAGTAAGGTCCTCTGGAAATCAACTCCAGGGAAATTCGCCTACACTTGCCATTTTCAGCAAATTGGAATAAACGCGACAAAGTTTGAAAAAACGGGAATTCATTTTAAAACTGAGGTTTTCGCTGCCGCTGCCGTCGCCGATGCTAAAACTCCCTTAAGATACCACGACGGCGACGGCCACGAAAACGTCACATATAAAGTGAATTTGCGTTTTTTCAACCTCTATCGCGATTACTCAAACTCGTTTACTTTGTCAAATGTAAGCAAACTCTTTTTGAGCCGAATTCCCAAGAATCATATTCAAGTTCAGATAGAGAAAGAAAATTTAGCCGTCGGTTGTTTATGTCCCTCATAAAACGTAAAATTAGGCATCTTCCCGTCGTAGTCGTGCAGTGACGGAAAAGAAACGTACAAAAAAGCGTGATGCACGTGCAGCGTTGTTGTTTTGCCTCTTCATCCTATTGCTTTTTTGACGTTCTCGCTGTCGTCACCGTCGTGGCATCTTAAAGTCCCGAATATATTCATTTCAGCTGGAGGGTAACAATGTAAAAATGCGTCTTCAATGCTTTTATTCAGCGGCTATGGCAAGCAGATCTAGAAACTGGACTATTCAAATTAAGTGCTATTCTCATTGCCATGGCTGATATAAGTACCCTCCTTAAAACTGTGACCTAAATGAAGCCAGAACTGTTCAGATATATCACTTAAAGAACAAATTATTCAGACACAATCAAAGCTAAAACAGAAAAAAAAATCACATACAGACAAAATGAGTCAAGCACCCCTAGGAGAAATACAGGTTTGAACTTAAACAGTCTAGCAAAAAATATAAGAAGTTACCCATTCTCCTTCAGTTCTTCTAAGTTGGATGCATTCCATTCTGAACCCTGCAACAAACAAACATGCCAACATGGGCCTCCATCAATTGATATCAATAATCATGTTAATTCATTTTTGGATTAGATGTTAGATGTTTCAATGATACATGTATCTGTATACCAGAAATCAAATCAGCTTATATGAACTTACTAGGTAAACATGATCAAAAATCTTAGAGGCAGAGTCCATCTGGCCCAGAATAGTAAACATTTCCTCGTCAATAAATGAACGGTATTCTTTCAAGTCCATTTGTGTATCCTCTTCAAGCATGGTTCGCACCTTACAGGAAGAGAAAAAAGGAGATTTAGTGTTGACCTTTTCATCCCTAGACCACTTTATCGTGGGATTCTTGTCACTGTAACTATTAAACCTGTGGAGGAAATCCTATGGTGTTACCGTTCACATGAAACCTCTTTGCTGGAACTTTCGCATAGTACTACTTACTTCTTTCTATTTTACAAAAAAATTCGTTCTGTCTTATTATTATTTTTTTATTATTATTATCATTATCATTATCATTATCATTATCATTATCATCATCATCATCATCATCATCATCATCATCATCATTATTATTATTATTATTATTATCATCATCATCATTATTATAATTATTATTTTTTTCCTTTGGCCACTATTAAAAGCTAAAGGTTGTGCAGTCCAATCGATGCTGCAATCTAGGAGATTAGAGGAGGACAATAGATGATAAGGATAAAGATGGATGAAGACCGATGAAACTTAGATGATAAAGACAGTACATGATAAGGAGAGGATTAGAAGTGAGTAGTATGATGAGGGATTTGGACAAGAAGCAAGAAGTATGGAGAGCAAGGAAGATGGGAAGGGGTGTGCAATGGAGTGGTAAACAGATGGGAAAAAGGTAAAGGAAAAGAGGATTGGACAGGAAGGAGAGTGGGAAGGGAAGAGGAAGGGAAGAGAATAGAATGGAATGAAAAAGAATGAATAAGGTGGAGAGAAAGGACTGGGACATTAGGAGGGTGATGTTGGGGGAGGTGGAATAGAAAAGGAGGAATGAGGCGGGGTTGGATGGAGAGAGAGAGAGGGGAAAATATGAAGGAGGAGATTAAAAGGATGAGAATGGGATGGAAAAGACAAGGGAGAAATAGAAAATAATCCATTGTCTTGACCCTAAAATACTAACAAGAGAAAAAGAAAGGGAAAAGGATTCTATGGTATTACAATACATATTATTGCTTGTTACCTGACGTGAAGTAACATCTTCAAGGTCAACTTTCATCATAACCTGTAAAATACACGCAGGCAAAATTGTCTAAGGATGCTGAAGACAGAAATAATATGACTTGATTATGCAATTAACATAAACAAACAGCGAACTGACCTCTCTAAGTTTGTGGCGAATTAGCTTCATAACAAGTTCTTTTTCAGTGCTGCAAAATTAAAATCAATACTGGCTGAGTCCCATACACTGTACATAATGTTAAGCAATAATACAGCTTGCTAAATTAGTAATTAACAAACTCATCATTATTAAACAATCCACTGTCATTGTTTTATAACTTGTAACAGAGTGCAAAGAAAGTAGTGTCTGATAGCCTGGGGCTAGTGGATTTTGCTATCGGGCTAGTGAATTCTGTTTTTAACTTTCCCGACGGGCAAGTGATGTTTTTTGGGGAATTCATATAACAGAAGAACTGTGAAATCAATTCTGCTTGTCAAAAGGTTTTTGGGGCTAGTTAAAATGACGTCTGGGCTAGTAAATGCTAGCTTCAGCTTGCCCGAATGGCAAGCTGTAAAAATGATTTTCTTTGCACCCTGTGTAACTTGCTGGATAGAGACCAATGATATCCTCATTCAACAGCAATCAACATCTTGAAAGGGCTTTTTCAAAATTCAACACAACAAATACATATAAAAATATCCCTTAATAAGAAGATCACAACAGTCTTTCTTTTGCTACTAATTGTACCCCACTAGATCAAACATCAATAAGCAGAACGTTTTTGACAATGCACTTGCACAAGTCCAACCAGAAAAGGTCAAATGGCTTTAACAGTTCAAGAATAGAAATGTTGCACATCTCTGATGATGAGGGGTTTGTGAACGGATTGAGTGGGAACATTTTTAGCAAATGTTTAATTTTACCTTGTTCCAATGGGGGAATCAGGACGCTTTGACTCAATGTCTTCCATTTGATGCCTATAAAAAGAGCCTTTGGTTACCAATTTTTTATTTTTTGGGTTCTACTTGAAAACTGATGGTGTAATTCATTAATGTGTCATTAATTTCAAGCAACAACTGTAATATAGAAAGAAGCATAGTTTGTAATATAGTAACTATAGACTGAATTAGAGTTATAGTAAGATCACAGGGGAAAATATCCCACAACAATATAAAATACTTCAGAAGGCTTTAGAGTCATTACTAAAGTACCAAAATCTATTTCAAAAAGGACGAAAACAAATCACAGTATCAGTACATCAGACACAAAGTTGTCCTCAATTACATTCAAGTTTAATGGCCAAGAAAAATCAAATTCACAGGGTTGTCATAAATTGGAATGAAGATTTAGATTTGCCTCATTTCAGATCCTTGAATTATGTAAAATGCCATACGTGTTCTAGGTAAATATGAAGAAAACTGCAAAATACTAAAATGTCTTTTGTTAAAAAGGAAAAAAAATACCAGACATCTAAAAGTTAACTAAACAAGATGAAGATTAAGGATGGTTTAAAAGGATACAAGAAATTATCACCATTATAACTTGAAAAGTGTGAGAACAATTTTTCAAGATGAACAAACTGTGAGTCCTAAGGTCCATTTTGTCTTCTCTTGAAGACACTACAGACACCAGTTGTTAAAATGTTGGATAGCACTATCCACCAGATAAATCACTATCCATCAGGCCCCAGTTGTTCAAAAGGTGGATAGCACTATCCACCTGGCCCCGGTTGTTCAAAGGCTGGATAGCGTTATCCTCCGGATAAATCACTATCCAGTGGATAAGTACTGGGGAGACTAATTGCACCATCCACTGGATAGTGATTTACCCGGTGGATAGCGCTATCCAGCCTTTGAAAAACCAAGGCCAGATAAATCTCTATCCAGTGGATAGTGCAATCGCCTTCCCTAATACTTAACTGCTCGATAGTGATTTACCCGATGGATAGTGCAAGCCAGCGTTTGAACAACTGGGGCCAGATAGGTACATTTTGAATTAGGAAAACAAATCACTGCATTATCCATTGGGTAGAGATTTATTCCCTGGATGGCATTATAATCTGCCTTTTAAACAAGAACTGCAAAGAATCAAAGGTTTCACCACAGTAACATACCATTCATTCAAGCAGAGCCTGTCTGATGAAATTTTGCTGTAATAATAGTCTGCCCACTCATGTGATGAGCCATTTGGGTAGAAGTAATTGTTTCTTCTGGCATTATCAGCACACTTGTGAATCCACTGTAGAGCAGTCCTAAACAGCAAAATTAATAAACGTTATTCACTCCTTCAAACAAACACTTCCTTCCAGGTTACAGCTTGGAGCAGCATCATATACCAGAGGGGTAGGTTTGTGTTTGGAAGTTACATGTACTGTACTTTATACATTGCTGGCCCTCCCCTCGAAAAAAGAAGAAGGAGAGGAAAACAGTGTCTCTGATCTACTAATCATATTTTACAACATCACTGGATTGATCTATAAACATTTCAGACGTATTTTTGACATCAAGAGGGACAAAATTACTTTCCAATTACCCTACTCAGTATTAAAAAGACAACTCTTTTAACCTTTACGGCAAATAAAGCCAGACAATTTAAAAGTTCTAGCCATACTTACCACATGGTTTGAACAGAGATTGGCTTGAAAATGTTTGCTTTGCCGGCTGACATCATTTTAAAGCCACTATTTTAAATAATGAAAATATTGACATCATAATACTGCAAATATAAAAGAGTATAAAGAAGCACCAAAACTGTATAGTGATAATGGTGATAATGGTAATAATAATAATATTAGCTATAATAATAATCAATAGCTGACCATTTGTTTATTATAAAAATATTAATCAATAATAATGATCACAAAACTCTTAATAAACAGCACACTTGATACACAATGACTGAACAGTGGCAGATCCAGAGGAGGGACCTGGGGGCCACCCTCATTTTTAAACCAAACTGAGGCCCAAAGGGCTGAAAAAATTTTTTTCAAGGCCCCCCACCTTCCCCCATCTAATGGTCTGGATGATGGGGGGCCCCCCTGATCTCGAAATCTGGATCCAACACCGCTGAAGGCATTGGTATAAATTATAACATCCCCACAATAACTGAGACACCATGAGGAAGACCCATGCTAGCATACTGCCTAAAGTTTAATGTACAATACAGTCAAATCTCTTTTAACAGACACCTCACTAAGACATACGTATGCCTTTGAATAATCCATTCAGTTGACTCTCTATAAGATGAACACATAGGACTTGCTGGCCCAAAGATGTCTGTCTTAGAGGGAGGTGATTGTTTAGCCAGATTTAAAATGAGAAAGAAGATTCATATATTTGTAACAAGAATTAAAACTTACCCATCACCATCCAGAGTGATACTGGTGTCCCTGTACAAAGGAACCACAAGACCAATAGTGGCCCTGCAGAGAAAGCAGTATAAAACACAAATCAGTTGCCGGATTTAACAAGTTATTTTTTTTCTTTTTAATTTTTTGAAGACTAATTGGAATAGAAAGGTTAAAATTACCCACCAAGAGCAATCCCTATAAACCTTGGCTATGTCCTCAACAGACTGTTCAAAGAAGGATTTTGACTTTGAATATTCACAATATTCAAAACCAGATACTTAATCTAGTATAAAAAAACTTATCTCATTCATTTTTTGTATATCACAAAAACAGTAGTGGTAGAGGGAGGGGAGTACTGCCTCACTGACCCCTCCCCGGGCTGTCCAGGTCTTGTAGATTGTAATTTGAAGCAGGAAACATGCAGCCCTGCAAGCTGTTGTATTGTGACATTTAATGCTTTAATTTAAATTAAATCATAAGTGAATGTCAAATTATAAGCATTTTCTCACTTGTCAGTCCAGTCCACCCCCATAACAATGCTTTGTTCTTCTTCATTGGGGCCAAATGCTGACACTATGGTTAAGTAGCGAATTCTGTTTGGATGCTGACATTCCAGTTTAACAACCTAAACACAAGAGATTGAAGATATCAGACTTGTATCCAATGGTACAACATCATAACATCAAACATTTTACTCAAAATGAGACAATAATCAGTAATAAAATTTATTGCCATGCAGCCAATAATATCAAATTGTCTGGCTTAAGCTCAAGTGGACAGTCTTGAGTAAACAGAAAAGACAGGACAAGACCATAGTTTCAATGTTGTTTTGAAGGGTATATATAGAGACAGTGCTTAACTTGCTACAAGTTGACCTCTCATAATTCTTAAAAGCAAGCGAAGCAAGCTTCCATGAGGTCGTGTAGCAGCCGAGCCAGTGACAAAGTCACGAGGTCGAATTGTTTCACCTGGATTTGAATCATCCATGGGGAAAAATGATTGACATACATGTATGCTGTGTCTCGAGTGGCATCAAGTGCATTGTATCACTCACTCTCCTACTGGTCAATTTTAATGACATCACCAGCGGAATTTTCGACCGGTGAATTTCGCATCAAACAGGTAAGAAAAGTCCTTTAAAATGGCATAACCAACCAGGACAAAATAAAAGACTTTTAGAAAGTCTAATAAAGTGCATATGGATATACAAATTCATAACTAGAATGTGTTGGTTATAAAGCATTTTTGATCTTCAATTCCCCTGACGCCCATGAGCAATGTATTGGCTTAAGTAAGACAAGCCATTTATCTTGTCTGGTATACACCGTACATGTACAGTCTTAAGTCTTTATTGAATATGCAAGTATACATACATACCTATATTTACACGTTTAATATTATTAGTTAAAAAGTAAAAATATATATAAAATAGTCTATTAATAAAACTAGCTTTAAAATGTTCCATATTAACACAGGGTAGTAGGCTTGTTTGAGTTCTCAGATGTTTTGAAGAATCTTTAACTCTGGGCAAAAATTATACAAAGGATGAGTAGGTAGGAACCTAATCTTCTAAGAGATTGACCAGTCTGTTTTTTCAAGCAAATTGTATATATCTATAGCATAGGATATAAAACGGTGTTTATGACATCTGCGAAGGAACTGCTACACAGTATTAAGTTCAGACACAGAGGCTGCATACATGTACACCGGTAATTCATATCAAATTTTTGTGTACCAGTGCAGAGTTACACTAAGGACTGAATCAGAGTATGTCAAAGGTTGTGGCCCAAGCAAGCCTGGAAGTTTAGAGACAAGGGGAGAAAAATTAAAATACCCAAACCACAGCGAATTTGCAAGACCTCAACAGAAAGCAATGACTTTAAGGGAAAAAGCTGAAACTCGGGACTAGAATTCTAACATTCCAGTAACATACAAGCTGCGATGCAGGTTTTACATGTAGATATTTTACAATAATTGGTAAATATGACATAACTTTATTTAGGTACATTGTACAAGGACAAAAACAAGATTCTTACAAGTCTAAGCACATCTTCATCCCGTAACAAGTTGACCATGGCCTGCAAATGCAATTGCATCTCTCCTGAAATAGATTTATGGCAGAACAAGTTACATGCAATACCATCGACCTATACAATGAAGATGGAAACAACTTCAATTTTTTTCGAAATAGTGATCAGAAGCAAGAATAATCACTAGAACATATTCACATACCTCCATGTTTAGTGGCTCGCCGAGCAAAGTCGCCATCAGGCAGTGCATATGCTGCTCCCTTGGATGCAAAGAAACCTTCAAAACTTGACCTGAAAGTTACAACCATTAAGAGTTTACAATGATGACAAACAGCAAATTGCAAATAGCATGTACTGTGTTGCTCCTAATAATCACAATATGATTGATCTCAACTAAATTACAGCGTAAAAGTATGACACCTTTGTAAAAATAATGTTTAAACTGTCAGATTGTTCTATAAATTTCCCATTTCTTAAGATGTAACTAACAATGTTCCCCATTGATCAATATCAAAAAGTCAGGTTCATGAATTCATCCTCGAGTCTGGCTGCCAGCAGACATTGTCCACAGTTTTAAATAATGAATGATTATAAAAGTGACCTTTTAAAATGCTTGAAAGAATCAACAAGTAGTGAGCAGCAAGGACACTTCATAAAGGAGTTCCTCATCATTTAGGATTTCAGTGACAGAATAAGAATAAGATCGTAGTTTTAAAAGTTGCTCTAGAGCATTTAGTATAACTGTCAAAGATATACATGCATGCAAGGTAACCAAGATTTAAGCATGTGCCTAGTCTTAATTTAGGGCTCCTATTGATAACAGATATACTTTTAAGTATTCTAAAGGGATTACCCTAGTTAAATAAAGGTTTTACTACTATATGTGCCAGAAAAGCAAGAAAGGACTATAAAGATATTAATAAGATTACTTATTATTATTATTTTCATAACAAACGATAACAGTACTCTTACTCATGGTTAAACCCAAAACAATAATAAATTAATATATTACAATGCAGAAGACAATAGCAAATATACATTACTCTGCAACCTAAGGTTACCATAGGATGTATTCTAGTAGGGGGTGGAAATGGGCCACTGCGAGAAAAAAAATAATGAAAGCTACAGTAACAATGAACTGACAGGTGTAGTTACATGAGGCTTGCATACTCTTAATGTGTGCAGGGGTCCTAATTCAAAACAAGTCTTTTGTTTGGAATTCAGACAACAACTCAATGTTATCAAAAATAAAGTAAAAAAAGTTAAGAGACAGGAAAGAAACAATTTGACTATCAAAAATCATATTTACTTACTAGAAAAGCGCTATGCGAACTTTTTATGACCACTTCTACTTCAAAACTCAAGGACAGATAAAATGACTGAAGAAGGCTAATACAGTGGAAAGACCCCCTGCTTACTAACTTCAGTCAAAATATTCAGTTGATTCGTGACCTTTCACTACAATGTAACTATGCTACTTGGAAATCATCTCTTACTGATTGCAAATAAACAAATTAAGGCATACAAGTTGCCAAAGGAATGACAGGGCTTTGGTTAGCTATAGGATTTCTGTGCACTGCAGAACCCACAACAGGAGAAAATAAAAGAAGAGGGTAAATGTACAAATTACACTGTCTTAATAGAGAACAAAACAGCAACTAAATGATTGGAAAGAGAATCAAAGGAAACCATCGAAGGCAAAGAACATTATACATGTAAAGATTATCATTAACTATCCTTTCCCACTGCAACAGAAGGTGAGTACGCCAAGGCTGTTGTGTTGTCTGCTCAACCCATCCTGTTCTGTCCTGTTGTTCTGGCAATAACAGCCTTCCAGTATGGGTTGTAACATTATCACTGTGCTTTCAGTTTCTCAAACAAGAAAGAGAACCTTACACAACAAGTGGATTTACCAAAGTCCAAAGCCTATCTATGAATACCTCTGAGACATGGAAGACGAAAGTTTTTTTGTTTCTACTGTAGAATTCATAAGAGAGCAGGGCTCGCTGGCATAACAACTATCCTGAACAGGAGAAAAATGAAGTGGCTCAGGCCTGTTTAAAAGATGGATAACACCCATATGCCAAAACAGCGGTGATCTCTCTTGTGGCCAGCATTCACAGGGCAGACTAAAGTTACTACTAAGGGTGCCATGAAGCACCTACAGATGTACCAAAAGTCCTAGATGAGGATGGCATCAGACTAAGCAGTCTGGAGGACCACAGTATGACAGAAGAAGCCCTTCCCAAAAAGGAAGACAATGCCATCAAAGAAAACTGAGAGTGCATTAATGACTGCCATCTCAGACAACTTCACATGCCATTACTGCACCCACCCCTGCCACTCAAATAATGGCAGGATCAGCCACAAGGGAAGCTGCAGCTTTTAAAACTAACTGACTGACTGCAAGCTGCAAATCTGTCTAGCACGAGAAGAGCCAAGATGTACTGAAGAATTTTTTTTTTTTTCATGTTAACACAACCTTTGGTAAAACAAGCAGAAGATTTTGATGCATGTGCAATGATTGACAGGTCAATCAATCCCATTTTTAGGTTAATAGTTTTGTAAATTGTATTGAACCCAAGAAAATAATCTGGTTATTCTTGAAGCAAAAGGTCCTTACAATAGGCAATAAAAGGCTGTTAAATTTAAAGCAGTCTGTAAAATGTCTATCAGAGAATGTCAAAGTTAGTACCACAGAAATACCACATATAAGAGATAATTTGAAAAAGGAAAGGAATTTTCTGAGATTTCAAAGTAATGAGACAAATCCAGACCATTATTCGTTTTCCTACAGATTAGAAATAAAACACGAATGAAATTCGAAGGCAGTAATAAGCACAATTAAGGAAATTTAAATGGCTTTAACTTCATTAATCCACTTCTCGAATTTAAACTTTATTTTGGGTTTGTGGGCGTGCGTCTGACAAAGGATTAAAATAACATCCCTGTAACGCGATAAGAAATTATGATGAAAAATTTTAAATCACAACTTGAAGAGGGATAGAGTTCAGAGACAGAGCAAAAAATATTCTGGCTTTCCCTTTGATCAGATTATAAAAATATCAACGAAATGAAATGGCAAAAACTATGACCTTGCATTTTTGTAGTATATGCGCGGTTCGGGAATTTTTGCATTTTTCAATGACAAGATTACTTTAAAATACATGGACCCTATGGGAATAGCAAGCATTGGCAGGTTACAAAGAGGAAGAGAAGGTATTTCCTTATAGCCAAGTAATCAAATCAGACAAAAGGCGATCTAAATCCGGGTCGAACCTTACAGCTTTATCGTTTATCCCAAGACAGATATAGGAGCTGTTTCTTGACAGGATTGACAAAATAAACAAAGCAAGAAAAAGAAAAGACTTACGCTCGGGACCTATTGAATGAACTATCTTCCTGATCTTCGTCGACTTCCTACAAGTCAATCAATTAATTGAAACAAAAATATACAAGCACTGATCGAGCAGAGCAGAAATTGATCATTCATGTCAAATACGATCGAGAAATCACACCAAAGATGGATGAGCAAACAATTTACCGAATCGCCCAAGCTGGTGCTCTCAGACGTCGACGGAGAACGCAGCACAGTTACCAAGGACATATTGGCCCAACGGTCACATCATTAAATACTACAACACTACAGTGGTTGTTCCTAAACGGTCAAAAATCACCGCTAAGGTTTCTTGAGGTCATCCCCGTGTAGTTTTCACAAAAGATGAAAATAAATATGAAATAACTGTTGCGCATGAGCAGCTCTTTGGCCTCGTTTCCGCTGAATTTTGTGTCATTTTTTCAATTTTACGCAATTTTCTACATGATACTTTCAATCTTACCAATTAAAGAAATCTTCCAGAGTCTCAGACAGCATAGAAAAAAGATGCATGTCCTTCCTATCCTTGGCCAGCTACAAATGCAATCCGCTAAGGTGATGGCAAGTACCCGACGAGCGGCGCTTTCTGGAATTCTGGTTTGCTCACCGGAAGTCACACTGACTTATAAGAAAGGCCAAGTGTCAATCTTGGACTTTCCATCAACAGTATCAACAGGAAATAAGCATGACCAAAAGACCAAAAGAGGCCCCCGAAACTCAGCTACATTTAGCTTGATTTTAATTCAAGTTTATTAGGCAGCGAAAGGGTTAAAAATTGCACTCAATTCTGTTGTTCTAGTTCTCACAATTTACATCTGCAAAATGTCAAAAAACGTCAGAAAAGGAAGCACGTGTGAAAAGTGTGTTCAATTGACGGAAGGCCGTAGGGTTGTGAATTTTTTGGCGTCTCGTATTTCATGTAATTGAAAAGGTAACACAAATGATATAAATTGATATTCCGAGCCTATTCCGGAAAACCCTCGAATCCGGTGAGATCACGCAAGTAAAGTGAAATTGGTCACGTGGAAAAAGACAGACATGGCTTGAGTAAGTACATACCAGAGTACATACATTAGTATACATAGAATTTATACTTACATAAAATCGAACTGGCTTTCAAAAGTTTACAAAAGTGTATATGTATCAATTCTTTGTTTAAAAGGTCATGTTGAAAATTCGGCTTTACAGTAACAAAACGTGTGAAAATCGATGATGTTTGGTTTCCGTTTATAAACGACATGATCGCATTCCAATCGCCCACTACCCTGACGATTCGGCCTTGTTCTTGACTACTTTCTTGTGGAGGCTCGTCACAACACATGTGTTATATTTGCTTCACCGGAAGAGAAATGACAATTGTTGAAATTCCATAACTGTCTTCATTTCCCAAAAATCAGTGCACAGTACATCATTTAATATTGAAGTAAAGTCATCTCGAAGTTGAAGGATATTTTTAACAACAAGTATTTAAAGAATTCAGTGCGGTACGCTTAGTAGATAACAAACTTTATATACCCTCGTCTCATGATGAATAGATAAAGTTTTATCCAGTTTTCTGGAAATCGTTATAAACCTAATAACTATACATGCACCATTTCTCCAGAACATTTAAAAAACATCTTTTCGATTTTTTTTACGAGATCGAAGCCTCTTCCCGCAGGGCCAGGAGTATAAATACGCCGCTAACCTCAAAACCAAACTTTAATATACAAGTTAGATTGGGTATAAGTTATCTCTAAGTTGTGAGGAAAATAAAGTACCCGAAAAAATATATTTACAGGCAAGAAAAAATAAAATATCTGAAAAACATTTTCGTCCGCAGCGCAACAATTGCTCCACAACCGGAAACTAACAAAAAGGGTAAAAAACGTAACGTGACAAATAAATGTAAACATTGTCAAACTCGTGTCGACGTCATTGAAAAGACGTTTATATTCAGGGACGTCAATTCAATACAACTTCATAATGGTGGAGTTTAGCTTAAAAATATGATAGAAAAAAATGTCTTGTTTCCAACAAAAAGCTTATTCTTACTGGATTATTCCTATGGCGCTATCTTTAGTTTGTTTCCGCGTATCAAAAAAGAAAGAATCAAGCCAGAGTTAGTCGAAAACCAGAAAAGAGCATTTTCTTGTGTAAGTCTTTTTCTTGTGGCTTGCAAGAGCAATAAAAATTCATCTTGTTGAAGTTTTTAAAGCGTCATATATTGAGCAAAAGTCCATTGCGTGACCTTGAACGTCCGAATGTCAAGTTCATCAGAGCTGCGCGTGCCTTTGCTTTATATGGTAAGGTGCTATTCTGTATGTACAGTACACAAAATAATTTCCCTATCGCGAGGAAATTTTATAAATTTGTGTTTGTTTTGTCAATCTAATATTGTGCTTGTTATGCTAATTCGGTCCTAAATCTCAAATTTTGACTCTTAGCCTGTAATAAACAAACCGAAACAAAGGAAATGGCCACTGATAATCCGAAACCAGCGCAGTCTTTCAGTCAGTTCAGAGATGTTGTTGAATGCTACATAAGGAAAAAAATAAATTTTGGCCTGGTACCGAGGCGATTGTTAATATAATTCATATGATCGACAAGACGCAATATTTTTTTCCTTGTTTTTTGTTTTAAATGTCTTCCAACAAAGCGTAAGCGTTCAAAATCAATACTTTTCTTTGTGATCTCTAACCATCTGAAACTCAGCTTCAGTGTTAATTACACGACGAAGGCCACAAGCAGTTTGTTTGGCGTTTGCATAGATTTCGAATTTGGTTGCCAAAAGAACTGTTTCCCGTTAGAGCGATTAAACCACCTTCACTGCTACTTTACTTAAAGGAAATGCAATTTTCCTGAGGAAATGTTACCAGCAAACAGAATTGACCTAACTTTATCATTCACAAATACATAATTCTTGGCATTCCATGAGAGCTCAAAAATTAGCTATCGAACTTACCCTTTTGTAAAGAGTCGAAAGTTCTTTGCTTTCTTGGCAGCTCGGCGAAAGACTTTCAGAACCCCGCGATTTCCTGTCGACATATCTTGAGCTGTGTTGTGATCTCTCGCCCTCACATGTTTTGCTTCAAGAGGTGAGTGAGCTCCTTGCGATAATATTTTGAAAGTTAATCCCCGTCA